CACACCACTCAGCTACATGCAAAGATGGTCACACCCTTTTGCTCTTGCCATCACCTGGTAATATTCCATTTCTGTGTTCATTAACTCTGAAATTCCATTACCCATGATCATAATATTTTATTATTCTACTTTTCCTTCTGGCTTAAAATCCTTAACCTTGTTCTTTTCCTTAGTGTGATCTCCAAACTCTTGACCTTTTCCAGGCTATCACCCCACACACCCATATCCTCCCAGTTGAGAACCTTGTCTCATATTTCATTGAAAAAAGTGAGGCTATTCACCAAGAGCTTCCTCTTCTCCCTTCCTCCTTTTCTTGTATCACTCAGGTGCCTTCCTTCACTCTTCTCCTCCAACCCTGTCTCACATAAATAATAATAAGAATAGCTAATATTTGTATATCATTTACTGTGTGTCAGGCACTGTGCTAAGTGCTTTACAATTATCTCCTTTGATCCTCACAATAACTCTGGGAGGTAGATACTATAATTACCTCCCTTTTACAGATGTGGAAACTGAGGCAAACAGAAGTTAAGTGACTTGTTCATGGTCACATAGCTAGTAAATGTCTGAGATGTGATGTGTACCCAGATCTTCCTGACTTCAGCAATACAGTATTCTATCCACTGATCAACCAAGCTGCCCCACATAATGAGGTGGCTCTTCTCCTTGTCAAAGCAAACTCCTTTAAATGTTCACATGAACCCATTCCATCGCATCTTCTCCAGCATATTGTTCCCCCTATCAATCCCATTCTCTCTCTAATCTTAAATCTCTCCTTGTTTACTGGCTGCTTTCCTGTCATCACCCACCCATGTCACCAGAATCTTTAAAAATCTCTTTACTTGAACCATCCATCCTTACTAGCTATCTTTCAATATTTCTCTTATTTGGTGGATAAACTCCTTGAGAGAGCCATCTACATTCAATGCTTCCACTTCCTTTCTTCTCAATGTCTTCTTAAATCTTTAAAGTCTGGTTTCTGATCTCATTACTCAACTGAAACTGGTCTTTCAGAAGTTACTAATGATTTTCCGATTGTTAGATCTAATGGTCTTTTCTTAATCTTTGTCCATATTGACCTCTCTGTAGCCTCTTACTTTGTCAGTTACCCTCTTTTCCTTGATATTCTCTTCTCTTTAAGGTTTTATGACACTAAGGACCATTCCTTCTCAGTCTCTTTTATTGGATCTTTATCTAGAGTGCACTGGTTAACTGTAGGTATCCTCCAACTCTCTGTACAGGGTCTTTCCCCTCTATACTATTTTGCATGGTTATCTCATCAACTCCAATGAATTCAATTATCATCTCTATGTAGATAATTCTCAGATCTGTTTGTGAAGCCCTAACCTCCATCCTGACCTCTAATTTTACATCATTAATTATTTATTGAACATCTCAAACTAGATGTCCCCTAGACATCCTAAATTTGACATGACCAAAACTGGGCTTATTATTCCCCCCTGCCTGCCCCAAAACCCTTCCATCAATGACAAATGCTGGAAGGGATGTTGGAAGATAGGTACACTAATGAAACTGCAAACTGGTACAACCATTCTGGATAACAGTTTGTAGCTGTTCCTCAAGTTATGGGAAGCTAGGTGGCACAGTGGACAGAGCACTGGCCCAGGAGTTAGGAGGACCAGAGTTCAAATCCAACCTCAGTCACTTACTTGCTGTGTAACCCTGGGCAAGCTATTTAACCCAGTTTACCTCAGCTTCTCATCTGAAAAAAAAAAGCTGGAGAAGGAAATGGAAAACCACTCCAGTTTCTTTGCCAAGAAAAGTCCAAGTGGGGGCATGGAGAGTTAGATACAACTCAACAACTAAAACCCCAAAACTATGCATACTCTTTGACTCAGCAATACCACTAGTAGGTCTGTACCCCCAAAGAGATCAAAGAAAAGGGGAAAAGATCCATGTGTATAAAATATTTCTAGCAGTTCTTTTTGTGGTGGCAAAGAACTGGAAACCAAGAGGATGTGAATCATCAGGAGAATGGCTTAACAAGTATATGAATATGATAGAATGCTATTGTACTGTAAGAAATGATAAAGGGGATATAGTCAGAAAAATCTGGGGGCAGCTAGGTGGCTCAGTGGATAGAGCACCAGCCCTGAAGTCAGGAGTACCCAAGTTCAAATCCGGCCTCAGACCAAACACTTGACACTAGCTGTGTGACCCTGGGCAAGTTACTTAACTCCAATTGCCTAAAAAAAAAACACACAAAAAACCCCCCAGAAAAATCTGGGAAGGCATTGACACAGAGAAAAGTGAGCAGAACTAGGAGAACAATTTACACAGTAATAAGAACATTGTAAGAGAATCAACTTTGAAATACAGTAACTCTGATTAATATAGTGATCCACCATAGTTCCAAAAGATTCATGATAAAATAAAATTCATGCTAAAAGATACTATCCACTTCCTGATAGAGAACTGATGGGCTCAGAGTACAGATTGGAGCATATTTCTATCATTTTTTCTTTTTTCTGCTAATGCAGAAATATATTTTGTGTGCCTTCATGTGTGTAATGAATATTGCGTTTCTTGCCTTGTCAATAGGTGAGGGAGGGGTGAAAGAAGGGAAGAAGAACATTTGGAACAAAAAATAAAATAGATGTTTTAAAATCTCTCCCACCTTCTAAATTTCCCTACGACTATTGAGGATATCACCACTCTCCCAGTCAACCAGGCTAACAAATGATGTCATTCACAACTCCTCATTCTCTTCTTATCCTCTCCCCTCCACATATCTAATTAGTTTTCAAGTCTTGTTGATCCTGTCTTTGTAACATCCCTCATATATGCCCTCTTCTCTCTTCTGACACTGTCACCACCCTGATGCAGGTCCTCATAATCAAACTCCTTGACTATTGCAATAGCCATCTGATTGGTCTCTCTGCCACAAGACTCTCCCCACTTAGGTGTTAGAAATGATCTTAAAGATCAGGTTTGACTTTGTTCCTCTCCCTATTTAATAAACTCTAGTGCCTCCAGGATCAGATATAAAATCCTCTGTTTGGCTTTTAAAGCCCTTTATAACTTGGCTCCTTCCTCCCTTTCCGGTTTTGTTTTGTTTTGGTTTTTTACTTGACTTTCTTCCACTTCACCATCTAGCAACATGAAATTCCTTGCTATTCCTGGAATAGCCTCCTCACCTTTACTTCCAGCTTTACTCTGGCTTCCAGCATTCTACTAAAAGCCTTTCCTGATCCCTCTTAATGCTAATGCCTCCCCTCTATGATTACCCAAACTAGCCCAAATATATCTTGTTTGTATGTTGTTGTTTTTGTGTTGTCTTCCCCATTAAACTGTTTTTACCCTTTTGTGTATCCCCAGTACTTAGCAGAGCATAGCATAAAGTAAAAATTTAATACATGCTTCTGTATGACTAAATGAATTCTGGTGCTTCTCCAAATTTCCTTATTTTTTATATGTCGTACTCTGTTAATACCCATAATGTATCTCTCCATTGTTTTCTGAGTGATGCAACAAAATTCTGAGAGAATGCCTCAAAATGCCTTGTCTGAGTCCTTTCTCTGAGTAGAATTAAGTTCCATGTTCTTACTATCTTAATTTATTTTTGCTTTCAGATCCATCTAAATTCTTGCCTGAAATTATGACAGCAGTGCCATACTTTCAGTCATTTCGCCCTATGGTTTGATTAAAAAGGAAATGGATTTGGATATTCAACTAATTCCCATCTCAGCCCCAGCAGCCCTTTTTCAACCAGGTAACAAGAGATTTTTTTTTTTACCAGTTGAGGAACTGTCCAAACCAAATATAAAAGGCACCTGGCTTTAGTCTTTAAACCTGGGTTAATCAAACTTGAACTTAATGATGGAAAATCTGACAAAATACTTTAAGTGAATCTAATTACATTTAAAACACAATCAGTCAGGCCAAAGTTATCATTGTATTGCTTAAACTTTGAACTAATTCAGTTCTAGCTGATTCATTTTCTTTAAAGCCTGCCACTGTCTTCTGTAAGCTTTTGAAAAGCCCTGCATTTCAATAGGCCTATATCATGATTTGTTTCTATGTGATTTGACTGAATTAGTATGACTACATAATTTGAACTTTTTATTTAATTTGGAGAAATAGAGGAACAAACAGATTAATTAATTTCATGTCTAAGATATGTAAATAATATATGGAGGAAATTGCATTCACCATTATTCATGCATCTTGTGAAAATATTCAGAAACATCTCTAATTCCCATTTAAGCCAGAGTAGCAGTTCTTGAGGTATAGTTCATGAAGATCAAAATATTTCCCCCAAGTAGCAAGATGCCTTAATTTCTAATTCAATAAATATCAACAGATATGACCTCCATAAATAAAAGCTTTTAGGAGGTGTCCTCAATAATTTTTAAGAGTGGAAAAGGGTAATTGACAAATGGTCAAAAGATATGAACAGGTGGTCTTCAGACAAAGAAATAGAAGCTAGCTATAATCACGTAAAAAAAATCAGTATTGATTAGAAAAATAAAAATTAAAAATGCAAAAAAATGCAAATTAAAACAACTCTCAGGTACCACCTCACCCCTATAAGATTAGTTATTATGGCAAAAAAGGAAAATGACAAATGTTGGAGACGTGGGAAAATTGGGGCACCTTTGCAGTGTTGGTTGAGTTGTGAACTGATCCAAACATTCTGTATTGGAGATCTGTAGGATGTAGAGGGCCACAGGCTGTTCAAGAGGTCTCACTGATGGGTGAAGGCCCCTCTGGGTGCTGATCTTTGAGCAAAGGTCACCTGGTTTGGTGCTCCATTGTATGGATCTTTAACAATCTTTAACTCCCCTAGTTATTGTATGGTCATTGGCAGTTTATCTGTGTCTGGAGTCAGATATGTGCACAAGATGTGCATGCACTGTCCTTAGCACAGCATGAGCTCTACGTCATTGTAACTTGATAAGAAGTTCTTGTTACTTTACTACTTAAGTGAATGCTTTGCAAAAATTAAACGGAGTTGCTTCATTCTTGTCTCCCGCCTCATCAATGCGCATTTGAGATAGAAAATCAAGCTGGTCTTGATTCATCAGGTGATTGGGAAATCCTAGGCCCTAGATAGGCTCTATAGCCAAATGAACTAGTTGTGCACAATGTGGGGCTACACTGCTGCCGTGAAGAAGATACGGAGAGTAAGACAGCTGCATGAAACAGTTGGGAAATGTCTGGACTAAGAAGACGTGACACCCACATCAAGACACCGAGGTCTGTTGGAGCCAGGCAGCCTCCTTGTGAGAGGTCTTGGATTCGTATCCCATGGCACAAAACTATGGAGAGGTAAGATCAAGTCTTATCATGAGGCAAAATCTAGGTAAACTCTCAGATAAGGAACAGAATGTTAAAATAATATATAAAGTGATTGAGGAACAGGGGTGCTCAGTAACTCTAAGAAAATAAGAGAGTTTCTAGATATTATTGATATAAAATCTCCATGGCACCCCAGAGAAGGGAGTTTAGATTTAGAACAATGGAAAATAGTGGGAGAATAATCGACAGAATTTTATAACACCAAAGGCCCAAAATAAGTTCCTCTGGATACTTTCACTAATCATAATCTCATAAAAATGGGCTTGTAGGAGCTGTGAGAACAAAGGAAGCTCCCACCATGTGCCATGAGGAATTTCAAAAAATCCCCAAGGGGAAGTAGAAAAGAAAGGTGTAGTCACAGCACTATATTGTGGACATTGTAGAGCGTTACAAAGTGAAAAAATTTCCTTTTGTAAAAACCAAAACCTTAAGAAAGATTTTGCCTGGTTTTAGAATACCATGAAAAGAAAAGATAAAATAAAACAAAAATAGTATTATTTCATTTGTGTAGGGAATTTCTGACAAGTTTCTCACTTTTGGATTCTCCCTGTCATTTTGTTCTATGTTTGTCTGTGTCTGTGTGAATGATGGTCTGTGATTAATATCTGTAATCTGTTTAATCTTTTACTGCCAGGTAGCCAAGGGCTGCAACTGGATTTTGAAATGCTGTTAGTGACTTTCTCCCCTTCCCCCACCCTAATACCAGCCACATTTCCCGGGAGTGGGTGGATGGGGGAGAGAATGGGAGAAAAAGTACTTCATTATTTAGGTTATATAATTTGATAAAAGGCAAGAAAGTTTAAGCATACAGGAATAAGGAAAGTATATATAGAAAGAATAATATAATCTGTTTGCATGAATAGCAGGAATAGATGATTTGAGAGTAAAAGATTTGGAAACTTTTGGAAAAAAAATACTCTTTCTTTTTTGCATTCTAAAGCTCTGGCCAAAGCTTTGGGTGTAAGATTGAAAGATTATGTTGAAAAATATTCTCTTCCTTTTTCTCGAATTCCAACCCTGGCCAGGTTGGGTTGGGGGAGAAAAGAAGAAGGAGGAATTTTCCTCTTCAAATCAAAAAGAAAAGTTTTTAAGTATTGGAACACAATCTAAAGATAATTTAGTTTATTCACATTAGTAATATGCATATTTCAAGTTTTAAAAATCTAGTCTCATTACAAATTGGTACACTTTTATGTGTTATATCAAGCAATTTTTAATAATTTAGATGTTATTAAAACGTGAACTAAAAGATACTGAAAGGTAGTGAGATAACTGTGCAAATTCAGCTAAATTATTTTATCAAGTCTGGTTAATCTTGTTCTATGATGTTTTATAACTATCATTTAGAAAATCAGGTATTTCTACCTTTACCTATGATTAAAAGAACAGCTTAGAGCTAAAATAATTTAACTATCACTCATGAAAATTACCAAAATTGTTAACTAAGTTATTTGAAGTTACTGTTTTAAAGCTAAGACCTAGAATTCTTAATTACTTCTGAATGAAAAGGAGGGACATAAGGCAATTCCCTTAACTTTGTAAGCTTGCCAAAAGCTCCTACCAATTGTGTCAAGGTTGTCTGCTCTGAGAGAAGAATTTGTTTATGTTACTGAGTTCCTAAACAATTCATTTAGCTTACTGAGAAATTGCAACTTTATATAAATGATTTCTAATAACTGGCTTTTTCACGAAGACAAGTTTAAATGTGGGAAAGAAAGGATGTTAAGTAAAATTTCTTATATATGTGAGTCCTAGTAAATCTTTATTGATTAATGCACTTCTATGAAAACAATTAACTGTATCTGGCTTTTAAGCCATAGTTAGTGAAACTTACCGCTTGAGGTAAAAGACTCTTAGAACTATAATTAACTTTGTTTTGAGCTTGAATTTGGGTATGGTTGTCTTAACAAATCAGTATTTCCAATTTTCCCAATTATGATCCTTTAAGGAGGAGTGTTTCTTACCACGTGCCGAAATTTTGTTCATCATACTATTAAACTTGTTAGTGAGAAATATTCCCAGACAAAAATAATTTATTGTATGGATGATAAACTTAGCAGTTGTCCTACTACTACCAAACTTTCCTTATTAATGCTCAAGTTTTAACAAGCTTTTCAGTCAACAAGCCTTTCAGTCTCATAGATTTATAATTACCCCTGAAAGGGTACAAAGGGTGTCACCCTTTGCTTACTTTGGGTGTATTGTTCTGCAGTCTGCAGGTATACCACAATGCACACATTGTTGTGCATTCAGGAACAGGTAGTTGGAGTACACACAAACAGGATTGATACGCATGAAAGTGTGGAGGCTTTTATATTTAACACTCCAAATTCTCCAACAGCAGTAATACATCAGAAACAAAGGCTTTTAGAATGGGTATATTTGCCATCTCAAGCAAAAAACACATTAAGCAATCATATGGCCTTGATAGGGGACTTAACACATAAAATTGACAATAGTGTTTAACATTATGTGGCACACATCTGGAAATCACATACCTTCCATTTTCTCAACAAATAATTGAAATGGCAATACAAACAATGCCTAACTGGCAAGTGAATATCAATTTGAAAATTGTGTATGGAAAACCCCTTAAATATCACACAATCTTTGAGAATTGGCCTTGGATACAACCCACACTTACAGCAGGTGAACCCGTACATGGGATTAATGTCTTTACTAATGCCACAAAGATGAATAAGGCCTCTATCTGGTGCCCTAAAAGAAAGAAGTTACATGTGATTGAAACACCCTTTATATCTACACAACAGAATGAATTATATGCTGTCTATTGTGCATTTCAAAAATATGAGGAACCAATAAATATTAGCACAGATAGTAAATATGTTGAAAGAATTCTAAAACATCTAGAGACTGCTGTAATAAAAAATATTGGTAACAATATATGTCAGCTGCTTAATGATATACAACTTATGATACAGAATAAGACAGAAAAATTTTATGTTCTTTTGCATGTTCGTTCCCACACTCTTGCCCCAGGACCAATTTTCGAAGGTAATGATATTGATGATAGGTCTTTAACAATGAATATGGAAATAGCAAGGAATAGTCATAATAAGTTACATTTATCTGCTAGGTCTTTACGAACTTTATATGGCATAACAAAATCACAAGCACGTGAAATTGTTAAGCGCTGTACTACTTGTGTGCCTTTTCAACCCCCTTTCCATGTTGATGTCCATAACCCCAAGGGGCTTACACCTAACACCTTATGGCAAATGGATGTTGCTCATTATTCTCCTTTTGGAAGACAAAAATATGTTCATGTTTCTATTGATACTTATTCAGGCTTTATTTTTGCTACTGCTCAAGTGGATGAGGCTGTTCGCAATGTTGTTCATCATTTGCTTCATTGTTTTTCCTTCGCTGGCCCACCCCAGTGCTTAAAGACTGATAATGGTCCTTCATATATTTCTCAAGGTTTTAAAAGGGTTTGTACAGAGTTCTTTATTAGTCACACTACTGGCCTTTCCTATAATCCTCGTGGTCAGGCCATAGTTGAACGTGCCAATTGTACCTTGAAAATGGTGCTCCAAAAACAAACAGGGGGAGCTAAGGGATCCCCTTGACATCAACTGAACACTGCACTCTACACTATAAATTATTTAAAATTCAATAGTTGTGACCTGTCCCTTGCAATGAAATATCTGGCAGGAAATGACAACAGTACTAGTGACACCACTAAATCAAACAGATTCCTTTCTCCTAAACATAATGTGAAAGTTATGTGAAGAGACGTTGATGGTGCCTGGCAGGGCCCAGGGCAAATGTTAACCTGGGGACAAGGGTTTGTTCTTATTTCCACAGGTGATGGAGAGCTTTGGGTCAGAATGAAGGATGTCTGCATTATCCATTCAGAAAGGACAATGCAAGCAGAAGAGAAAACACAGGCCAGCCAGGAATCGCAGGAGCCAAAAGAATAAGAAGAGGGTGCTACAAGAACTTTTAACCAAGCTGTGCCTCTTGTCATTATTGTCAGCAGGGATACAGAATACAGTAGCAGCAGAGACAGGAAATACAACATGATGGGCCTTCGTGACAAAACCACCATGGCCCAGACTAGTTACATGGGGAGAGACAATACCTGAGGTCATTCTGCAAGGAAATGCCTCCACAGGTTTTAGCAAGGAATTTCATTTCACATCACCTAAGAACCAGTCTCAACACACTGTAAAAATGAACTTTACTGGTGTAGCTTTGGTGCCACCTATTTGTGTTACAAAAGGCAATGACACCAAAGACTCCACGTGTTTACAATTATTTAATATCACCACCCATTTTGATGGGTATATGTTTAATAACACAGCAACCCCTCCTTATACTGTTGTCTTTTTTCAGTTTTATAAGGTCACTTACACAGGCATCTTGGGGTCACAGTGTGTTAATGACATACCTATCAGACGTCCAAGTAATTCAAAGCCATGCTATCATGTGACACCGATTAGCAAGAGCTTAGGGTATCCTCCTTGGTTATCTTGTCATACTTCAGAACGTCATTGTGTTGTGTTACAAAAGAATTTTACATTATAATCCTGGTGCAATTATACTAGGGAGAAAAACAATCATACTTGGGCTTTTGGCAGGTTTCCATTTCCTCAGTGGGTTTCCCTTCATGACAGAGGGGTTGAAAATCAGTTGTGGAAGGCGTGGGCAGCCTTAGGCCCCATAAACATCATGAATTTGCAAGGGACCTTCCATGATAATATGACAATGTGAGCTTGTTTGACTGGTAATCATGCATTTATGTGGGGAAGAGCACAGAATGTTAATATAATGGCCGTGGATTCAGGGGAATATAATGTCACTTGTATTAATCGCAGGGTGTCTGAATGTATAGGAACCAAGATTAGAGACCAAATTATTTTCGTTATTACACAACAAAAGTTTGCCTTGGTGCCTGTGAAAAGCAAAGATTGGTATGAGTCACATTCTGATCATATTTTTGGAAT